TGTGTGTGTGTGTGTGTGTGTGTGTGTGTGTGTGTGTGTGTGTGTGTAGTCTTTTAGAGGTCTAGAAAGATTTAGGTAATGGCTTTTTATCTGATTTAATTGATAAGATTACATGGAGTTCCAAGGAAAAGCTGAGCCATCTGTTCCAGCTACTTTAGACTGTGCTTGTCAGTTAGCAAGTCTTTTCTGAGTGAGAAATAATGCAGAGATAGATGTAGGTATGAGTCCTTAGAATCTGTTCATCTGGTCACTTCATCCATAATTAGGTAAAAAGAGCAAGTCTGTAGTTATGCTTTGAGAATTTCACCCCTTCCCTTTTAGCTACATGTATGGATTCTGTACTGATGATAGAACTTCAAGATTTGAGAATTTTTTGGCATTTAAAAGTGGGCTTAACTTCTGATGTGTTAGGGGAGTAATTGGTGACATTCTAACATTCCCAGTTACATATACCTTATATTTTTTCCTATTCATTATACTTTTATCCTTTAACTTATTTTTATACAACTATACAGATCCAATTCATTCTTTTTCCCATACTTCTCAGATTTATTTTTCTTGCTCTTTTCCCCATTCATCTTGCTATTTAGTTCACCTCTTTGCTCACCTTTTATTTTTGCTACCTAGTAGCACCTATTGAACGTATTTAGAGCTAAAAAGAGAATAGTAAGTATCCCTTGAAATTGTTTCAGTGTTTCACCAGCTTCCTCTCTAGTCTCCAGGTGAATTTTCCGTTCCCTCTTCCAGCGGAGGGGGTGGGAGATGGGCTTCTGAGCTGCGGCCAGGCTCCTCCGTGTTTCCTATTCCACTGCTGCTTCCACAGTGCCAGCTGCCAGCTCCCTTTCCTCCTGACTTTTGCCAGCTCGTTTTGCCTGGTAGGAGGCTGGCTGGTGTTTAGTTGCTTAGGCTTATAAGATCCACAGAATCCATTTTTTGTTGTTTGTTTGTTTGTTTGTGTTTCCTTCTGAAGTCTGTTCCTGCTGCACATCTGGCGGGGGGGGGGTGCGAGGGGGTGGGCAGCACGTGTATGGAGCCTCAGCAGTAGAGATACAAGTGTCAGGGCACTGCCTCCAGTTTGCCCCCAGGACTTTGTCCCTTGACGTCTCCACTCCCACTTCCTCCCACTTTGCCATCAGGTAGTAAGTAGGCAGTGGGTTACTTTTGTGTCCCAAAGGTACCTTCATGTCAGAGTAGCTACATTAGCCATTTTTCAGGTTTTGTGCATTATAGGTACTATATCTTAAAATCCTAGGAATTTCAAAGCTGGATGGGAAAGACTACTTAAACATATCCTTTTTAGTCCTGGATTTTTTTTTTTCTGCAAGTTTTGATTGAATTTATATAACTACAACTTGAGTGATACTCATTCTAAATTTGCTTTCCCTATTTTGTTCCCCAAAGCAATAATAAACACAAGCATAGGTAGACCACTGAGAAAACTAGAAATTCACCCAATAGACTGTGATGGCAAATGAATATTTTGGGAAGGCTTTTGTTTTGAACAGCTTACTTTACTGGGTGCATTTTACAAAACTACATCTGTATAAATATATGCATAAGGTATAACGAGGCCCAATTGAATTTGGAAAATATGTTTATGTTTCTAAGGAGAATTCAGAGGTTTTCTTCCTATAACTGCTATAGTCCTACTTACCGTTTCTAGGGACATGGTCTTTTTTCAGGGCTACTTCACAGGAATTTAAGCACCTCTTTAGTAGTTCACTGTCTTATCATTTGAGGTTAGCTCACTGGCAGAATGTTGCTATGTGTGTTTAACTCTCACAATTCATCAACTGCCAAAGCTTTTGAATCAGGGGTAGTAGTTAATCGAGTAATTCCAAGTCAGTAATTTGAGTTAATGAAATAGCTTGTGATATGTTCTGAACTTGTAGATTGAAGAAATTGACAAAACTGTCTTAAAAGTTGTTCTTAACTTCCAAGGGCTAATAGCTGTTCTTTTTATTGAATAGATGTGAAAATTAACGGTAAAGACAACATAACTCTTATAATTTAAACTTGATTTCAGTTTCGTATAATAAAGTACAATTAAGTCAGAAAGAGCTGAGTTTTTGAAGAAAGCCCGTATGTTATAGTTCTATCTGTGATGGTGGAGGTTATATGATTTGAACTGTTCTTGAATGTAATATAAAAATGCTATGTCATGTTCTAATTTTGGTTTGTTTGATTTACAGTAAATGAACTGGAACTTATCTCTTTTACTTTAGGCTTTCAGATAAACTTCTGTGAAAAGGCACAAAGTAAGCTACAAATTTTATGATATTATGCTACTTAATTTTTTTATATCCATCTTGGTATTGGGAATGTGTCCACTATTGTTTCAACTAACCAACCATGGTAATTTTACTTTAAAAGAGCTTCCATTTTTCATTCATTTTCCAAATACAAAAAAAAAACAACAACTGTGTTATATTCTTGCTTTCACTTGCAATTGAAATAGGAGAAACATATATGTAGGTATTCAAATGTATGTAAGTATAGAAAGATGTATATAGATATAGACAGATGTACTAGATTTAGAAAGATGTATAGAGGTATAGAAAGACATCTATTCATATGTATATAGTTATATAGAAAGATGTACATAGATATTTGGACTTAGCCATAATTTAAATCACAGGTTGAGGAAAGTTCACTTTTAAGATTGGAGTGCAGAAAGTATACAGTATAACTGTATTCTGAGACCTCATGCTTTAAAATTGATTTATTTTAAAGGATACATTTAATGAATTTTAACTTTTTTCTTTAAAACAAAGCTTTTTTCTTCCTCCTCCCCACCCCCCAATATAGACTAGAGTTTTTGTTTGTTTGTTTTTTAATAAATTTATTGATTTTATTTATTTATTTTTGGCTGCATTGGGTCTTCGTTGCCACGTGCAGTCTTTCTCTAGTTGCGGCGAGCAGAGGCTACTCTTCGTTGCCGTGCGCGGGTTTCTCCTTGGAGTGGCTTTTCTTGTTGCGGAGCACGGGCGCTAGGTGCGCGGACTTCAGTAGCTGTGGCTTGCGGGCTTCAGTAGTTATGGTTCACGGGCTCTAGAGCGCAGGCTTAGTAGTTGTGGCACATGGGCTTCGTTGCTTCGCGGCATGTGGGATCTTCCCGGACCAGGGCTCAAACCCGTGTCCCCTGCATTGGCAGGTGGATTCTTAACCACTGCGCCACCAGGGAAGCCTTAGACTAGGGTTGTATATTAGGGTACCAGTCTTCATATACTACAGAATAGGTTTTCTATAAGAAAGCAAAATTTATAAAGCCAAAACAAATGCATTTTAAACTTAAATGTCATTTGTATAAAATGCAGTTTAAAAAATCCCAACTCAAGAAGGCTATTCTCCAGTTAACATAAATATATCCCAAAATATAATGTATTCATCTTCTGCTTGTTGACTCATAGAGTGGGGAAGAATAACGACCGCTTTTTTTTTTTTTTTTTTTTTTTGCTGTGCTGTGAGGCTCGTGGGATCTCAGTTCCCTGACCAGGGATTGAACCTGGACCACGGCAGTGAGAGCCTGGAATCCTAACCACTAGCCCACCAGGGAACTCCCACGACCGCCTTTTGATGTACATCATTGTCTTTTCCCCCCAGCTTTATGAGATGTAGTTGACATGACACTGTGTAAGTTTAAGGTGTACGCATGATGATTTGATGCCCTTACATATTGCGAAATGATTACCACAGTAGGGTTAGTTAACACCTCCATCACCTCACATAATTAGTATTTCTTTTTTGTAGTAAGAACCTTTAAGATCTACTCTCCTGGCAACTTTCAAGTATATAATGCTGTATTGTTAACTGTAGTCACCATGCTGTTACCTTTTAGATCCTCTGATGTGTATCATTCTTAAGTAAGTTAGTTCAAACGAAATAAAGTTTAACCTGGAGAAAACATTTCTGCTGTTTTAAAATTTTCTGATGGAATCAAAATGCTTAATTTCCATTGGTTGAACATTGTGACTTCCTTTGAAAAGCAGTGAACAAAAATTTACTTCTTGATTGGTTTATCCATGATATAAATATATAATGAGCAATAGAGTAAGGCAGCTAGATCCTAGGATAAAATTTTTTAATTGGTCCATTATTGTCATCTGTCTCTTACCTTAAACTAAAAATAGTATACGATTTCCTGCTCATAGTGAACCTACATATATGATATATATCTACATGTAATGTAGTTACAGCTTCTATTTTATGCTATATTTTAATTTTAACACAGTTTTTAGCTTTCTGTTTAAGTATTTCTGTTAATATTTAATATACTTTTAAATTTTTACATATTGACAGAAAATCTAATTTAAGAAAAATGCTGACATCTTAAAAATTTAAAACTGCATTTGCACTGTTGCTTTTTTTCTCTTAGTCCTATTGTGAACATAAAACAAGAGAAACATTGATCTTATTAAATTTAAGATTGTGTATACAGTGACTATAAATGGCTCTGTAGGTAGATGTAAAATGCCTTTAGACTTTCTAAGTGGTACTGTCCTCTCCCATTGTTACAGAAATGATAGGTTTGCAGTGCTGCTTGCTTTATTACACGTGACGGAACCTGACTGTATTCCCACTTGATGCCCACTTTTGGTTGCCTTCACTACCTCTTTACACTGTGACTGCTTTCTCATATCTCCCCTTTTATTTCTCCCTCTGTCTTTGGGAGGTCCTTCTCTTAATTTTCCAGCTTTTGGAATTCATACAGTTTTATACATTCATTCACAGAGCACATGTTGGACACATAGGTACCATCGAATGAGGGAGATTATTGGGGCAGAAGTGAATAGAATAGGTCTCTGCCCTTAGCGGGCTCTTAGTGCAGTGGACGAGGGTTGTTCCTGCGTTGATTGCAAGCATACGACTACTGATGCTGCGGATTGATTAGTAGCTGAACCCAGGATGAGGTGGTGCAGGAACGCATATGTACTGGGCACCTTTGCTTCCACTGTTCTGTCCTGAGAGAGAACTAACACGAGGGCTGCTGTGGGGTCTCACGATAGCTGCTTTCCTGATTGGAGACCACGGCTCAGAGATCCAACAATGGCCTGTCCTGCTTTGGAGTCAAGCAGAGCTGTCTGTGCTGGCTCGGACCTCAGTGGAAGTCTTGAGGAAGGGGAGGATTGGACCTGAATGATGGTGCGGAGGGCCAGCTCTGAGGTCACAGCATTTATTTTTGAACTCTTGGTTCCTATATTTTAGGGTAAGTTTTCAGTTGCTTACATATATTAACACTTTTTCTCAAGCTGGTCCTATGATTTGCATGTCTTAAAAGTTATAAGTGCAATTTGGTAATGTTTTCAGAAAATCAGTCTTCCAGTTTGCTCTGGAATATAGACATTAACTGTATGTTAAAAGTAGCCACTCATTTCTTTAAAAATAAAGGGCTTGAAATCACCAAAGCAATGTTTTCTTGACTATTAGGGCATACTCTAGTGCCAGTTTTATTTTAAGGGTGTTTCAGAATTTTCAGAAAAACTACAATTTAATTCATTAAAAATAATTACATAGCATACAGTAGTTGTAGGAGGGGATGGAGTACAAAGAACACAAAAGTACATATTGTTAAAAGTCCACTATGTTTGAGTCTGCTTCAAATGCTCAATTCTCCATCATAAACCAAAAGGACTTATTTTAAGATGATTCTGATGACTAATGGAAGCTCTGAAGGATTAATTTTCCCCCATTGTTTGACTTACACATAGTTTTTATTTTTTATATTGTTACATTACTGTTCCAATCAGTCTATTACAATTGCCTGTTACGAGTTAGTGGCGTTTTATTGGTGATGTGTGTGTAGGTTTTTAACACACACACAGACAAATAGTGTGAGACTGCATATTTAATTTTGGAACCAGATTTTTATAGAAATTCAATAAAAATCCACTTTGCACCTCATGATCTTTTTTATCAATTATAGTTTCTGCATTTATTTGCTTTTTGGTTTTCTAAATATATATAAGATAATATATATTTAATATAAAATTGTTATTTGAGCCAACAGTGTTATATTTCTTTAACACTGTTAGATTATTGAATTTTTCTAAGGTCTGTATGTAAGACTACATCAGGGGAAAATGTTTTTTTCCCATGTAGAGCTCCTACATTTAGAGGGTTGATTAGTTCATCATTTACCATTTGGAGATAATGATTTTGTACTTGTAAATATGTTTATGTGATTTATGACTCAGTTTGAATGATCATATCTCAGTGGCTTTAATGAGCTAACTTGAAAACATAGTTCTTTAGAATATGATTTGCTTTGCTTTATAAAACCAATTTTGCAGGGGGAGGGGAGCAGAGATTTGCCTAGAAACAGTTTTTGAGATATGGTTTTGTAAATGTCAAATTTACCTTAGCGTATCGGCATTTTGACTTTCTGCTTGTATGAGAATTGTGACCCATTAAAGATCCCAGGGCACGGGGATTTTCCTCAGAAAATGCCTAGTAGAATCCTGTGCCGATCAAAGTGAGAGTAGTTAGGAATTTGGCAAATACTCTTAATAATTTAGTTTTCATACAAGGGCACTTTTAGCCTTTTTTTCCCCCCTTACTGCAGTGCATTTTCCGCCCATGGCTGTAGAGTTTTTGAGTGCTAAAGACAAGTTTTGGTAAGTGTTGAGTTTCCGTAGCTTTGCCTTTTTTACTTTTGATAGCTCTAAAAAGATTTAATGGCTTTAAAAATTTGTTTTACTTGAGAATGTTTGCATAGCAACATGTATTTAGAAAATTACATGTTGCAGAGCTGACTGTTATCCTTGAAGTCATTATTAGAAATTAGATTACAGGTATTGATCGCTTTTGGTAACACTGCACACCAAAGTATTTGGGGGGAAAATGGAGGTATCCTAATGACAGATTTTCATTTCATTGTGAAACTATTATTTTTAAATAAGTACCCCAAATTGTTTTTAAATTGGTAATAATAAAAATGAAACAGTAAAGAGGAGGAAGGATGTTTTGTGAATCTTCCCAGAAGTCTGAGGAAGTCATTAATAAGTTTACTGATCTGATAAGTTCTGTAAAAGATGATGTTTCACTCAAGAGAGTATTTGACTTTACTGGAGGTGAGTATAGACAACCACGGGAAGGAAGGAGTGGAGGGAGGGTCAAGCTGTCCCGTGTTTAAAACTAAGAGCTTAGAACATTCAACTAATTAAACTTCTAATTTCCTATTTTATGTAACAAAAATCTATACCCAATGACTAAAATTTTATTGTTTGGAATTTATTAAGCTCACCTAAGTTTTTCAGCA